AAAATATAACGCATCACTATCGATTTCGAATTGCTGACAACAATGTGAAACAAGTATCATTGTCAGCTAATATATAATTTTTATTATATAGAGAATATCGGAAATTGTTAATGATTGTTAGAGATAATTGCAGCAATTATGAATTAATAGTTACAGAGAGAAAATGGTTACATTAATTTATCGCATCATTCATTAATGATGTTTCGATATGCAATTACATATCCGTATTAGAACGTATTAAAATCTGTAATTAATTATTTTCTGTTAATTCTTTCTGTTAATTACTTTCTGTTTTGACAAATGATTTCGTCAGTTTTTTTTAAGTGAACATAATTTCAATTATAGTAATAAACAAGTAGATACTCATAGAAAACTTTTTCGTTATATCACTATTACGTATGATTTCTAAGGTCACCGAAATATATTATCGAAATTTATTATTCACTGAATTCATTTCTTATTCATAAGACGGTTTATTCTAGTTTACAATCCAATCGCGTAATGTATGCCAGTGGATTTATTATAACAGCTTATTTATTATGTTATCCGAACTTTGTCGATGTGTGTTTCCTGTATCTATATTTTCTTTTCAACGTCTTGAAATGTCACAGTTATTCTTTATTCATATACTAAGGAAAAATGTACTAAATTATATATAATTATATATAATAAATATTTTAATAATACTAGCTGAACACTATTCAATGGAAATTAAATGGAAACATATATTTGGTACAAAAACCTTCAATTCATCTTTTTATTTAGATAATAAATATTTATTTACTATCTAAATAAAAAAATGATACAGTTAAATCAAATTAATGATTCTCTCTCTTCAAATAAATATTTATTAAAACTTATTGTTAGTATATTTTTCTTATTCGAATCTCTAATCAAAAAAGATGTCGTCGTATTGTCGGGCATAAACGACGGCATAAACGAAGTAGGTCCTGTACCTATTTCGCATTGCCCGAAGCAGGAAGTCCAAGTTATCTGATTATCATTACACCGAGTAAACTTCATTCGGCCAACACACCCAGGACACACCCCGAGGCGGACTCGTTACATCGATCTTGTTGCTTCTCGAACTTTATCCGTGCTCGAAACGATCTCGTTCAATCTCCGTTAATCGCGGATTCCCGATCTTCACGGCACTTCGTTTTACGCGGACGCGGAAAACGCCAAGCCTATCGGCAACGCATCGATGCGGATCGACCCGCTATCGATTTGCCGTTTGTGCAGGAAATATCGCGCGTTCACGCGACTTGCCATCGATCCACAGTCAATTCGATGGAAAGAAAGAAAGATCTTCTCACCAGTTTCATAATAAATAGTGAAAGAATGATTTTATTGAAGTATCTAAAAATTTAGCTAAATACAAATTTAAAAATAATTTTTTTGAAACAATATTTTTTTCAATAAATTCTTATATTTAAGATTCTCACTAACATCAGAATATTCTTCAAATGATATTATTACTCTAGTTTCCTTTTTGCTCATAATTATGTTTCAAGATCAAAAAAGACTTCAGCGGGCAGTTTGCAGAATTAGATCCACTTTAACTAAGAATTTCTTTTGTTTAATTATAGAAAAATAATTTTGTTAGATCATAAAAATAATTATGTAAGAAACTGTGTCTAAATTTTTTGGAATATAATTTCACTTGACAGAATAAAAATTACGAAAATACATAATTATTTTGATAATCGAATAAAATTTAGATATATTTAGTTAAATTTTTAGTGTCCACTCTAGGACGTATTAAAATCTTTATATACTGATTTAATCTGAGTGTAAAAGTAAAATATTAGGTATGGGAAAAAGTTCGTGGCGTTTTTTTAATGCCATCTAACGGGAAAAACGCCACGAACTTTTTTCCATACCTAATATAAGTATTTCGAATTATAATACATATTTTAGTTAACAACACAATAAAATGTATCTAAAATTTCACAGTTTAACTTGTTTCTATATTGAACACACATCTTTACACATCAATTTGTGTACGTGCGATAGTTTTATATGCACCAGTG